CGATGATGCAGCGGAACAATACTCCATCTTTCATGTGGCCGATCCTTCGGGCACGGACAGAGAACTCATTGATTATGGTAGACTCCTTTGATGACAATTTCTCGGCTCATTATTTCGTCCGAACACATGCTATGACCGTTGAGCATTACAGAGCGGTAAGGGTTTATATAGCCTAAGGCAGATATACACAATCAGTCGCGGTGTCGAGCGGTGTGGGTTGAAACCTTCATTATAATGATGACGATCAATTTATTTATAACTACATGTAGACATTTGGTGAAACAGTCTTTTCCCCGTCTAAAATAATTCAATTAAAAGTATCATGATGTTAACAGAATTAAGACATTATTTCGTGGAAAACACACAAATCAAATTATTCGTACGATCACTGTTTTCGTCGATACATTTTTTTTGAAATTTGGTCAAGGAGCATTTCTGTAAACGATTTTCGACTTGGGACTTATATTGTACATTAGTTTTAGAATCTTTTATATTTTATTTAATACATGGTTATTAAAGTAAAGAGAAGATATTTTCCCTGTCCTTCTACTTGTTTATGACATAACCAATTTCACTTTAATTTCAGCTTTAAGTGACTAACATTGATCACAAGTATTTTCACTTTTTATGAAAATAAAGTCCCAGTCTCACCTGGTTATCTATCTGAACAGTAAAGCTTCTAGTCAGACTGTACATCTCTCGGACTGTATATCTCAAAGATTATACATCTCACAGACTGTACGTCTTACAGACTGTAAATATCACTAACTGAACATATCACAGACTATACATAACACAGACTGTACATAACACAGACTGTACATAACAAAGACTGTACATAACACAAACTGTACATAACATAGACTGTACATCTCACAGACTGTACGTCTTACAGATTATAAATATCACTAACTGAACATATCACAGACTGTACATCTCACAGCCTGTACATAACACAGACTGTACATAACACAGACTGTCCATAACACAGACTGTACATAACACAGACTCTACATAACACAGACTATACATCACACAGACTGTACATAACAAAGACTGTACATAACACAGACTGTACATAACCCAGACTATACATAACACAGACTGTACATAACACAGACTATACATACCACAGACTGTACATAACACAGACTATACATACCACAGACTGTACATAACACAGACTGTACATCTCACAGACTGTACGTCTTTCAGATTATAAATATCACTAACTGAACATATCGCAGACTATACATAACACAGACTGTACATAACACAGACTATACATACCACAGACTGTACATAACACAGACTATACATAACACAGACTGTACATAACACAGACTATACATAACACAGACTGTACATAACACAGACTGTCCATAACACAGACTGTACATAACACAGACTGTCCATAACACAGACTGTACATAACACAGACTATACATCACACAGACTGTACATAACACAGACTGTACATAACACAAACTGTACATCTCGTACATGTATGCATGGTCGGTTCACATGTGTACGAGTTTATTTAACTACAAGTTTCTGAGCCCTTAACCTTTGCAAATAGGCGGCGTTTATAGCAATGAGCCAATCATGTTTACATGAATATATGTCTGTATTATCAACTACATGTCTTACTTACTGTGTGAACATTTAGGATTTGATGAGAATACTTTCTCAGTGTTGGTTGCCTCGATTTAATTTAAACTAGGGTTTTACACGTGTACAGTGTATATATAAGCTGAATAATGGAATACCAGAACACGTTACTTTTTTAATTCACTGCTGATTATCATTCTCTTTATTTCCTCCGAATCGAAGATTCACAAACAGAACAATACATATATGCATTCATTGAAGATTGACAAAGTAACGTACATGTTATATGACAATATACAAACGGAAATTCAAAAGGTAAGTAAGGGTTACGCTGGAGTTAACTCCCCTTTGCGTCACTACGCTCCTTAACTTATCTTAAGTTACTTAAGAGAGATGACCATCATACGAAATACAGAAAAGGGAAAAATGTTACAATTGACACATTGTAAAGTTTAGGTTAAGACATCATTTGTAGTAAAGTTTGCACATTCTGCAGATTTTATGCGAAATTCCTCTAACTCCGATTAATTCAACTCATGCTCTACATTTTCTCCAATGAGGATATGAAACATATCGTAATCAGACATGGAATGTAAGTACACACTAAACATTATGTCTTTTATATTTATAATATCACACCATAAATTATCTCTTAACTCTCCTGTATAATCACATTGTAGAACTATATGGGTGGCTATATCACTGTACATAAAGCCACATTTATGACATAATCCTTCACCCTCACACTCTCCGATAGTTACAATTAATTTCATGACATATTGTTTAGCTTCTCTTTTGGCTGGGAATTTAAATGCCAGTCTCCTTAATACATGTGGTACTAAATGACCGTGGATAAGAGAAAATCTGGTATAATCGCCATTATTGGCCATTCTTTCTCGTCACGCTAATTCCTCTACTGAGTATACGGCATTCTTTACTTTAACACGCCACATACATTTAGACGGAAAAGTACAGTTAGTTATAAAATCATTAAACAATTATTTTTTTTTTTATACTTTTGCAGTATTCTTAGTATATCAACTGCGAACCCTTGTCTATTTGAACTTAATTTAGATTCTATATCAATGAGAACATATTTTGTAAAGAATACACGAGACGACAAATTCGTCTTATCTAATCTACATAACCTACCTAGGAACAACAATTTCTTAGTGTCTATATATGATTCTATACTGGTCCATCCAAGTGGACTTTTACACATGTCTTTACGGGTTTTAGTCTCAAAACCTTGTATTGCTTTCAAGATGAAATGTTGTGTATTTTCAAGCATTAATATTTCTGTTCTGGATAAACACCATAATTCACACCCATATAAGGCTGCAGCATACACTTTACATTTTATAATTCTACTTATAGTTAGTGGATTTAAAGCACTTGGATGGGCTCCACATCGAATGATGCTCATGGTTCCGCTTCGTAACTTGTTACATGCACGTAAGGTACGCTTTATTGAATTAAATTTACTGTTCTTCTTTTACAGGAAAAAGTTACAATTTTACTTTTAGCAGAAGAAAAAGTAAATCTCCATTTGTTATTGTACTCTTTACATATAGAAAGCATGTATTGCAGATCAGAATATTTAGTACTAATTACACATATATCATTTGCTTGTGTGGGAATGTTAACTCGCAGATCTGCTATTACTGTACCCTTCTCACATTTTTCAATATTGTTCAACAATTCATTAAAAAAACAAGATACCGTTTTGTTGAAAGAGCACTTCCCTGTAAGATACCGCGCTCCATTTTTACCCATCTTGACCTCAATCCGTTCACTAAAATACTACTTTTTAGATTGGTATACATATTTTTCATAATGTTCCGTGATTTACATTTTATTCCTAATTCATGCAGTTTAAAAAGCAACCCAGCATGCCAAACGGTGTCGAAAGCCTTATTGCTATCGAGAAATCCTACATGTACCGTATACATTATTGAAGATTAAAAGACGTTAGCAGACTACATAACCCCTTTTGATATGCTTATTGTTGCCTGTTTTGGAAATTATCCGTGCTAAGGACAGGATCCAATCTCTTTGAAAAAATCATTTCAAAATTTTTGAATATTACAGGTAAAAGTGTCACCCCTCTATAACTATTCGGGTCGTCTTTCGGTTTACCATTTCCCTTATACAGTGTTATGATAAGGCCTTTTTTCAAATCATCAGGTATATGTTGAGACTTAATGACAGCATTGTATAACTTCGACAAATGACTATTTAGCAATGCACTACAGTACTTGAAGTGTTCATACACAATATTATCAATCCCTCCAGCTTTGTTTAGTTTTAATTTACGACATATATGTTTGATTTCACGCTCTGTAACAGGGTCATCCAAATACTTGTCCTTTCCATGTCGTTTGGATTACGATAAGTGACTCCGTCGTACTTCAACTCAGTTTGAGCACAGTGTTTCTTTGGTGTTTCGCTCTTTAATAGTTGTCAAAACAATTTCTGGTTAATTTCTCCAGATTTATCTATCTCTGTAAACTGCGCTGTCATGTACTTCTCAAACGCTTTAATTGCCTTAAGCGCCTTCTGAAATCAGTTTTAGCCTGTTTGTACTCTCTGTAACTATCATTTAATACATCTCGTCTTACTTACTGTATGAACTTTTAGGATTTGATGAGAAAACTTTCTCAGTGTTGGTTGCCTCGATTTAATTTAAACTAGGGTTTTACACGTGTACAGTGTATATTAGTTGAATTTTTAATTCACATCTGATCAATCGGGGGAATTTATTTGGAACTTCTCAGAATGAATAAGATGAATTTGTGAATTTTGTTTTTACCTAATCAATATTGGAGTTCCTTGTTAGAGAAGTTCCGAGTACTAGCGAGTCTAGAGTTTGAGTGATTTATTTCCTTTTTGATTTTATTTATTCATTTTTGTATGATTTTCTTTTTATTTATTTATTGTTGCGATGCTAATATGAAAATAACGTGGGGAATTTTTGGATTTAATGGAAATTGACAGGCATTGTCAGGGAACTTACTCTCTGAAAACCCTGAAAACTCACTATCCGCTACCGAGTAGCACGAGTTTCAAAATACTAAAGAACAAAGGAAATTGAGTAATAAAGAACCATACGTACATACATGTATATCTAAGCCATTGTTTTGTCAACTATTACACATACATATGTATTACATGAACTGTATATGACGTGATAACTACGATTGCCATGAGGACACGTGTGTTGTTGTTTACTTAGTTAATCGTGTGTATATGACGTAACAGGTGACACTCTGTACATGAATAGTTCTTCCTTCCGCTGGAATTTCCAATTACATTTTATCATAATATAACACACACATACACATATACCCATTATATAAAGCACACTCGTATATAAACCTGTTTAGTAGTTAGTTAGGTACACGTCTGTACGTTAACGAGAAGGTATTAATGACGTCTATTGTTCGCTCAATTCAAAAGCTTCTCCTCCACGCAAAACACATCTGATCTTACTTACAACATAGAATGCATTACTCCGCCTCTTCCGTTTAAATTGACCAATCAGAAGGGGCAGTTGGCTATAGATAGCTGAGTGAATCATACGGAACCTATTTGTAAACAGACCTTTGTATTTAGCCGATCCTAACCTCTACAGCACAGATCACGAACAATGTAAAATCCCCGCTTTATTTCTGATCAGATTGAGGAACATCAACAGCGACAGATATCGAGGAACCGACTTTTATTGACCAGCAGGGAACACAAGGTAAGTAATGTAACTTATAAAGTTCCACTCACACTGGCTTCATAGATTGACCTGGTCTACCTGGCTGTATATTTATATTATACCTGCTCAGCTGTATGTATCGTCACTCACCTGCATGGTGGACTGGTGCGTACACTGTATACATATGTGATAAGTCTGTACGACTGTTCCAGGTATTGGACGTGTGTGAAAGTGTTTACAATATATATCGTTAAGTGTACAGGTGGTCATCCACACACACGTGACTGTAACAACTGTCGCCATTATTTAGAATCCCCGTGATTGTGAGTTGTTGTAACACTATAAGCCGTCTCGGTTGGCGAGGTATACAAGTTATCAAGTACGTGACGACATTCATAACTGTCATGGATGTTGAAGTCTACACAGTTTCGGAACTGTCTGCATGATGTAATGTCAGGTACAAAACGCAATAGCATTGTGGCCTGTATGAGGTACAGTGGGGAAGGTTGTGAAGGGGGTGGGAACGGGAGGGGATCGGGTTTCAGCGCCGGAGCTGGCGATTTACAATAGGACCCGGTTTGTGGGTGGTGGAAGATGAAATGGAATGTTCCATTGTGTAGCTCGCTGACACCAGCTAATTTCCCTTGTTTTGCTGGTTTAATTATATTTAATTAAAGCTATAATATTTGATAGCAGACACCTGGCTGGGATGATAAAGAGGCCTTTAGACTGTTCAGCTAGATACGACCTCTACATATGTTGTACATCGACTGTAAAACGTCTGTTGGTAGTGGGTCATACCTACCCAGGCTGTGGTATACACTCCCGATACAGATTTTTTTTTTACATGCACCAGATGTTATTAGTTGGAACAGTTTGTCGTTACCGTGCATAGCTGTAGGAATTCAGTGCAAGCATCGATATTGCTCCTGTAGTTACACAAACGCGTACACCATTAAAGCATCGCAGGTAATCCTGTTTAATTTTGTTCTGCAGTTGAAACGCGATACAAAAAACGGTAGACCTAAATTGAATCTGTAGCAAGCCCCCGACACAGAGAGCAGAGCCTGGTACATACATACATAAAGCATCGCTATCGCATATTTGTATGGCTCACTAAGAACGACTCTACCAGAACCGACGGTACTTTTAACTGCCTTTTAAATACTGCCACTCCACCACCACCACCCCCACCATAAATATACAGTTACCTGTGATTACCCGTATAGGATACGTGGGATGATGTAGGGGACACAATCCGTATCGCTATCTAAAAATGGGAGGGGTAACAGACTGCCATCTAAAACACGGAGAGCCCTGTCGCTTACACTGGACAAACAACAAACTCCCGTCTCAAACACAGGGATGGGCAATACAACCCTGTCTATGACACTGGACAAACAAACTCCCGTCTCAAACACAGGGATGGGCAAAACAACCCTGTTTATGACACGGGGAGGGGCAATACAACCCTGTTTATGACACGGGGGAGGGGCAATACAACCCTGTCTATGACATTGGGAGGGGCAAAACAAACCTGTCTATGACACGGTGATGGGCAATACAACCCTGTCTATGACACAGTGATGGGCAATCCAACCCTGTCTATGACACAGTGATGGGCAATACACCCCTGTCTATGACACAGTGCTGGGCAATACACCCCTGTCTATGACACAGTGATGGGCAATACAACCCTGTCTATGGTACGGGGAGGGGCATTACAACCCTGTCTATGCCACAGTGATGGGCAATACAACCCTGTCTATGATACGGGGATGGGCATTACCACCCTGTCTATGACACAGTGATGGGCAATACAACCCTGTCTATGACACGGGGAGGGGCAATACAACCCTGTCTATGACACAGTGATGGGCATTACAACCCTGTCTTTGACACGGGGAGGGGCAATACAACCCTGTCTATGATACGGGGATGGGCATTACAACCCTGTCTATGACACAGTGATGGGCAATACAACCCTGTCTATGACACAGGGATGGGCAATACAGCCCTGTCTCTTACACTGGACAAACAACAAACTCCCGTCTCAAACACGGGGATGGACAATAAAACCCTGTTTATGACACAGGGAGGGGCAATACAACCCTGTTTTTGACACGGGGAGGGGCAATACAACCCTGTCTATGACATGGGGAGGGGCAAAACAAACCTGTCTATGACACAGTGATGGGCATTACAACCCTGTCTATGACACAGTGATGGGCAATACAACCCTGGCTTTGACACAGTGATGGGCAATACAACCCTGTCTATGACACAGTGATGGGCATTACAACCCGGTCTATGACACAGTGATGGGCAATACATCCCTGTCTATGACACGGGGATGGGCAATACAGCCCTGTCTATGATACGGGGAGGGGCATACCAACCCTGTCTATGACACAGTGATGGGCATTACAGCCCTGTCTATGACACAGTGATGGGCAATACAACCATGTCTATGACTCAGGGATGGGAAATACAAACCTGTCTATTACACAGTGATGGGCATTACAACCCTGTCTATAACACAGTGATGGGCAATACAACCCTGGCTATGACACGGGGATGGGCAATACAACCCTGACTATGACACGGGAAGGGGCAATACAACCCTGTCTATGACATGGGGAGGGGCAAAACAAACCTGTCTATGACACAGTGATGGGCATTACAACCCGGTCTATGACACAGTGATGGGCAATACACCCCTGTCTATGACACAGGGATGGGCAATCCAACCCTGTCTATGATACGAGGATGGGCAATACAACCGTGTCTATGACACAGGGATGGGAAATACAACCCTGTCTATGACACAGGGATGGGCAATACAACCCTGTCTATGACACAGGGATGGGAAATACAACCCTGTCTATGACACATTGATGGGCAATACAACCCTGTCTATGACACGGGGATGGGCAATACAACCCTGTCTATGACACAGGGATGGGCAATACAACCCTGTCTATGATACGGGGATGGGCAATACAACCCTGTCTATGACTCAGGGATGGGAAATACAACCCTGTCTATTACACAGTGATGGGCATTACAACCCTGTCTATGACACAGTGATGGGCAATACAACCCTGCCTATGACACAGGGATGGGCAATACAACCCTGTCTATGACACAGGGATGGGCATTACAACCCTGTCTATGACACAGGGATGGGCATTACAACCCTGTCTCTGACACGGGTTGGGACAATACAACCCTGTTTTAAACAAGGGGTGGGGCAATACAACCCTGTCTCAAACACGGGAAGGGGCAATACAACCCTGTCTCTGACACGGGGTGGGGCAATACAACCCTAACTCAAACACGGGAAGGGGAAATACAACGCTGTCTCTGAAACGGGGTGGGGCAATAAAACCCTGTTTCAAACACGGGATGGGGCAATACAATCCTGTTTTAAACACGGGGAGGGGCAATGCATCCATGTTTTAAACACGGGGAGGGGCAATGCATCCTTGTTTTAAACACTGGTAGGGACAATAGAACACTGTCTATGACACGGGGAGGGGCAATACAACCCTGTCTATGACACGAGGAGTGGCAATACAACCCTGTCTCAAACACGGAAAGGGGCTATACAACCCTGTCTCTGACACGGGCAGGGGCAATAAAACCCTGTTTCAAACACGGAATGGGGCAATACAATCCTGTTTTAAACACGGGGAGAGGCAATGCATCCTTGTTTTAAACACGGGAAGGGACAATAGAACACTGTATCTGACGCGGGGAGGGGCAATAAAACCTTGTCTCAAATACGGGGAGGGGCAATACAAGCTTGCTTTAAACACGGGGAGGGGCAATAGAGCACTATCTCTGACACGGGGAGGGGCAATAGTAGCATGTCTCATACACGGAGAGGGATATTGGAAGCCATGACTCTAACACAGGGATACCCATTCACTAACTGACCCTATTTTTACTACCCGACTTCTATGTACACAAATTAAAAGGACTTAAGAAAGTCTAGGATACCGATGTTAATGGCAACTTTTCACTCTACGACTGTACTCGGGTATAACCGGTACACTGGCAGGACAGACGTACTGTAGCATAGGAATGCCTTTATAATTAACGAATATTCTCTTAATAAGTGCATAGTCTGTCTTAAGCTTGTACACCAATCATTTTTACGACATACCAATCAGTTGTACAACATACATGTACCAATCCATTGTACAACATACCAATCCGTTTTACAACATACCAGTCATTTGTACAACATACCAGTCATTTGTACAACATACCAGTCATTTGTACAACATGACAGTCATTTGTACAACATACCAGTCATTTGTACAACATACCAGTCATTTGTACAACATACCAATCCGTTGTTCATGTCCATCGTTATAACAAATTGTCCAACCACATCGTTTCCGTCGTTTCATCCATAGTTTGTATAGTTTAACATATCTATTGTTTACACAACGTTTCCATAGTTTGTATAGTTTAACATATCTATTGTTTACACAGCGTTTCCATAGTTTATATGTTTCAAAAGTTTATATGTGCCCGTAATTTAAACAATAAACAGCATGTCCATGATAAATGCATGTCTGTAATTAATAAAACGAGACCATAGTTTATATAACATGTCCACAGTTTATTCAACATGTCCACAGTTTATTCAACATGTCCACAGTTTATACAACATGTCAATAGTTTATAAAACATAGTTTATAAAACATGGCCATAGTTTATATAACATGGCCATATAGTTTATAACACATGTTCATAGTTTATACAACATGTCCAAAGTTTATACAACATGTCCATAGTTTATACAACATGTCCAAAGTTTATACAACATGTCCATAGTTTATACAACATGTCCACAGTTTATAACACATGTCCTTAGTTTATAACACATGTCCATAGTTTATACGACATGTCCATAGTTTATAACACATGTCCAAAGTTTATACAACATGTCCATAGTTTATACAACGTGTCCATAATTTAAAAAACATGTCCTTAGTTTATACAACATGTCCATAGTTTATATA